CTCATCCGGACTCAGAAGCGATTTTCCATAAAAATAACCCGCACTACAGGCGGGCGAAACATCCAAATTTCACGTCATTTTAGTTCAATCAGAAAATATTGTTGAGGGAATCTAAGAGATGTGCTCCCGTTTTGTCAAAAAATGAGAAGGACCGGTTGTGGATTTCGTACTCATGGAAAATGACGACATCACCATTAATTGGACAGCAAACTGGGGGCGAAAATGAAATGGAATCGCGATTCCTGAAGTTCGATAAGTCATCGTGCGATTGTCCCAAAATTCAACATGGCCTCCGACAATTTTAAACAGGGAAATCGCCCCAGATTTTGTGGGCTTTGATTATCCTGAGTTTTCACCATCGAACATGTGTTGTTTGACCGTAATGGCAACGGAGTATCAAATCGCATTAGTTGTCATTCAGCAACCGGAATTCTTGAAAAAATTGCCATTGATTTCATGGGAATATGTATCTCTTGATTGGTCCAATGGTAACACACGTGAAATCTCGACGGTACTCAAACTGTTCTGTGCGTAAAGGCACTGAGTCGCGCCATTTCATCAAGGCCGTGTTTCTTTGGAAACTCCTTTCTTTATCGAGTTTGAGGGTTACAGTAGGAAATTTTGAGCTTGATTTCCAAGATCTCACTTCATTTAAAGGTGTCGTGTTTGTGAAACTAACGTGAGCAACTATATAGACAACAACAAGAGTGATGAGCGAGCCGGCTGAGTAGAAAATTCGTGCATCATGAACAACTCAAATATTGTTGCGCGAAGATAACTACGAACCACTTAATTTTCATGAAGCTCTTGCCGACAAAGCGACAATCTTGCAGGGTTTTTATGTTTTGCTCAATTTTACCTTTGCGTCAAAATGTTTGCGGAGGTCACCTGGCCAAACTACATGCGGAAGTGGTGCGTTTTACTGTCTGCTGTATGTATAGAGTGAGTAAGCTGCATAATCTTCCGGAAGAAGGATAGCAAAATGTTCAGCGCCATCGAAACCAAAAATACATTTCGACCAGATGTAATTCACTATTCATGTGATTGGATTTATTCAGTCTGCTGAGATTCAGCCTTCGACTAGCTATCTACATATATCCACCATGTATATTGTTCGTTCGACGAACCTGGAGAATTTAGTTAGCCGCTATAGTGCCCTTGGATGCGATAATTTTTATCTTTTGGTGATTAGAAATAATGTGGAACAGCACCTCTATGAGTTCAGACCCGAGTGAGCCGCAAGGTGGCACCGTAGCCAGCTGAAGGGCTTGAAGCACTTCTTGGCATTCCGGGCACTGATGTAGAAATTCGATGCCCTGGAGGCCCCGCATCGGGCATTTACGCATGCTCTTTCGTGTCTGAATAATGTATAGGGATTTCAGACTCGCGGCCTGAATCTGCCGATGAGCCCACCCAGAGAAAATACGTAAACGAAAATACCAAGTATGGGCTGACCGAAATATTTCGCCGTACCTGCCAAAAGTGGAATCCAAAAATGAACATGTTGACAGGCATATAATGGATACCGACTTGCTCAGAATTCTAGGCTGTAGGCATGGTTCTATTAGGAGAGCTTCGCTTTCATCATACAGCTATTTGTTGGTGGCTGATGGAGCATAATAAATCTTTCGCAAAAAGCTCCACATATCCCACCACAGTCAAACGTAAACCTTCCACATGAAATCTAATAGGAATGGAGTTGCTTAAGTCCAATAACGCACGCTATCCTCGTTTTACACTTTGTGTATTTGACCATCGAAGGAAATCACTATGTTACCGCGGTTGTTTGATAGATCTTAGATATAGTGCACACATTTTCCAATACGCCCTGTCGCTTTTCATCTAAAAGCACATTTCAAATATTCTCTCGTGCATGCAATCACGTCAAAACAAAAAGACCCATTTGTTCAATCAAAAAACGCCTTCTTAGCCTTTCTTTATTGGTAGACGGACGGAGGTACCACATACATCTAGCCACTATTAATATTTTGACATAATTGAATAAATAACGAATTGCACTCGTTACGTTCTGGAACACGTTTTGAGAGGGGTTTTGCAGGTTGCCAGCAAAGACACTTGCGCATCGCAAATAATTGGTAGAGTTTTGGGAATCGTTTCGAGCTGAAGGAAACTTAACGGTCAGATAATTTGGTTCACCTACACCTCAGAATCCGTTCTATCCGTAAATGCCTGCCGCTGGCCACTGAGGCCCGAGACGATTTTCCAATTGAGATATGCAACGCGGAATCATGATGAGTACTGTACAGAATACAAAGTAAAGTCTTCTTTTTCTTCTACTGTCCTTATTTTCTTTTCTTTTTTTCTTCTTTCTAGGCCGTTTAGCCTCCGTGGAATAAATAATGCGTGCTAATCCCATGCGATTGATAATGCTAACTTTGGGAAAGTCAACAGAATTTTTTACTACGTAGAGAGGTATCCTGTTCCGGGTGAAAACGCACAGTTAATAATTCGTGCACTTCAAGCGATTCATCTTTATTCACATATAATTAGCTTTTGTGTGTGATAAATTGCTCGACATTGCACTCGTATGTGGTGAAAATTAGCCACCTCCATTTTGAAACAAAATACTTCCCGCTCGACATTTGAGAGCTTCACGATTCGTAGCATCTCATTATCCGCCAGTTCACGCCTGTCGATTAGGCTGCTCGTCCGGTTTCCAAAATGTGCCTAAAATCAAGCGGTAAGTTAGTGAACATAGTGCAACCAAACTAACTCTGCAAAACCTGTTACCATCAAATATAACTTCCACTGCCGAATGTTTGCAATTTCTGCGCAACCTGTGCCCCAAAGAGGACAAACAAGCAGATAAGCCGCTTAAAACCGAACCATATCTGCAGATATATTTAGTATCTACTGTTCTGTCAACGGCTGTTATTATTTCCTTCCGTGCACTCTTCGTTTATTCCCATGCATTGGCATTCAGACGATCTGATGAGCTCATCAAATCAAACGGCTTTCTACATCTTATTAAATCCATCTCAGGGGCGCATCATGCAATGAAAGTTCAGATGAGATCTGAGGCCGTCAGCCTTGCTCACATTCATCTCGTTCGCAAGATGGAAGGATGCACGCATATGCAGACAAGCGGAGGTCCAAACTGTCATCACATGTAGAAATTGCTGTGCAAGTTGCTCCATTGGGCAGGGGCGACCTGAATGAGTACTTCCTGTATATTCCGATCCCGTGAGTTCATAAGAGGCACGCACCTTGAATAAATAGGAGTGAACCACGTGTTCGTCGCACGTCCCTCCTTACCTCAACCATTTCACGCATAAATCGAGTGAAAATTCTGAAAGCCAAAATTTCCCTCATCAGTTCCATACGTGATGGCAAATAGTGGCACTCTCACAGGGCTGTCTTCAGGCACCAAGAAGCGCGGAGGTTAAATTTGCGATTAGCACAAGCTGGAAAATATGCGATTCCTCTCATTGGGGAGTCAGCTGGAAGAAACGACCCTACATTCTAATCATCCGCCTTGAGATGGAATATTCGGAAGACATTATAGTCGGCGTTTGTGCCTGTCTGAGGAGGAAGAATGTAACATGAAATGCAACCCATGATGAAGCGCTCAACTAGTGGTGGTGTACTGAAAACGAGCCGAATACAGCTCGAAAATGAAAAGAGTCGAACGATTTGTGCTTCCTTTAGCTCTGAACAAATGATAACTCGCCGAAGGTGAATTGTGTACATTATTCTTGGAAACTCTCGAGTACGCCGGTGGATGTCCTGCTATATCTGAGGGGCTGAACACCAGGCAACCATGCTGGTCATTGCGTTTGTCTGAGAGTCACCGTAAATTACACGACAATCTGCGTGTCAACTAATGAAATCCATCTAGTTTTGGCCAACTTATCCAGACTTTTCTGGAAACAAAGACGTTATCGGTTAAAAACCACGATGGAAATCACTACCATTGACAGCGTGATATAAGCGTTCAACACCGTTGCTTCGCTGCCGTACCCACGTTTGTAATTTTTTATGGGATTAAAGTGTATCTTCACAATGTAATGTGCCACACATGAAGGCAAGAACCGTGCTGAAAAACCTCAAGGATTTGTGCAGATGGTCGCCTGCTTTCGAAGTTTGTTTTGCGCTGGATACTTGAATACCGACAAATCATCCGGGACAGATTGATGAAACAATGGCCCGGTTTCGAATGAGCAAATGAAACCTACCTGGATATTGCGTGGTTTTCGGGAGATGGACCTGCGTTCTGGGAGATTTAAACGATCATTATCTGCTGAGGTTTTTATTTCTTGATTTTATGCCGCCAACTTTAAATGTGGGCATCCGATGAGCTCGGAATCCATGAAATCAAAGCACGTTACTCTAATTCGTTGATCGTTGGTTCATGCCTACAGCCAGGCAAACGTAAACTGTACATGGTCAAGCACTCACTACAGAGTTCTGGAACCATGAAATTCTGCCATTCGCCTCTACCTTCCGACAAAACAACAGGTGCTACATTAGAAATTTTCAACTCCTAAGGCAATTAGACTAATGAGTTTGTCTACGCAGTCTAATTAGTCAAAAGTACTGTTTGTTTCTGTCAGGTGCAGTCCCCTATGTCACAATGTCAAGACTGTCTGGACAGAGTTAATTAGGATCGCCGCTAGGTTCATCATGAGATCAAGGAGGGCCAAATGTGTAACATCAAATCGCATTTTCTCAAAATAGGTGTAAAATATATACTTAGGACAATTTCAGGTCACAAGATGTGATATATCTGAGCAAACTTCGTTCGGTAACCCAATGGTCTCGGACGAATCAAATGGGCTTCCAAGGGCAGAACAGCCAAACCTACGGCTTTGTGACCTGCGTGGCCTTCACATGTATTGGAAGGTATAATTTGATCTATAATTTGTGGGTGCAGAATTAGTCCCAATTCGACTTGGACATTGTGGGCGCTGTAAATATCACATGACTAACGTGGTTTCCACACGGGAATCCTTCACTTGGATCTAGTGTCCGCTTTTACTTGTTCTTGATCCTCTAGTTGTAACCGTGAGTGTATTCGAGACAGTGTTTGACCGTCGAACAGAGTCGTGCCTGTTTTACCGCAAATCTTCGAAGAAAACAATAATGCATGAATTTGGAATCCAGAACGAGTGCAAATAGAAACGTAGATTAATGTCAATTGGCGCTCGTATGAATTGAGGTTCAGCTGCATCAATGTAGTTCAAATCCCCAAAAAATTGCCGAGTCTCTCTAATACGGATTTCCTACATTTGACAGTCTTTCATGTAGTCAGGTTAGCGTGCAAATGTACAGACCTGAACAGGATTGGACAGCTGAGGATCTAGAGAGTCTTTCAACTGAAATGACTGAATGACCACCGTTTTGAGCACAGGACGTAATACGACCATATAGCCCATACATCCTGGATGGGGAATGTTCTATCCCCCTCTTGACGNATCAATTTTCCAAGCGGCTTTATGGGTTTAAATACGTCCAACGCATGCAACCTGGATGTCGTCTAAATAACGACAAATGACTGTGGATCAAAGAGTATCTCTGCCTTCTCAGTTGGCTTCCTATCGAACACAACACATTCACTACTGAGAAATGAAATGTTTCTCACAACAAGTCACTGGATTAAACGAAATATAGCTAACTCATTTCTACTTGGAATTCCCGGCCATTTGACCTAAACTTTTCCGCAACCATGACTTTGTCGATTCGGAACTTCTCGTTTTAGGCGACTGTAGATTGTTAACTGGATAGTGAATCTCACGTCTACCGCTCTTGCAGGGATTTCAACTAAGATGGAATTAATCCCAATGTGTTCACCGAGTGTGCTACAGCAGTGCTGCAGTGTGACATGTCGTACAAACTAATCTTCTTTAGACTCTTATTTCGGATTGCGAACATGTCATTTTCATTGTGCAACATCAAATCGCGAAACGAAATGGCAACTCCTGGACTTCGATAATTCATCGTGCGATTGTCTTTAAGTGCATTATGCCGGACGACACTTTTAAACAGAAAAAACGCCTCAGATTTTGTGGTTTTGATTATCCTGGGTTTTCATCGCTGAACATGTGTTGTTCGACCGTCATAGGGATGGAGTACGTAAGCGCATTGGTCGTCATGCCGCGACCGAAACTCTTGGAAATATTTGCCATGGATTTCGCGGGAGGATATATCTCCAGGTTGGTCTAATGGTATCGAACGTGATATTTCGACGGTAATCAAACTTCTCTGTGCGCAGCTGCACTGGATCACGCCATTTTCTCAAGGCTGTGTTTCATTAGAAATTCCTTTTTTTATCGAGGTAAGGGCTGCAGTAGAACATTCTGTGGTAGATCTCCCAGAGCTCAGTCCACGTAAATGTGTCGTGAGTGAGCAACAAACGTGAGAAGATATGGAGAACAATAAGAGCCGTTAGAACATTTTTGCATCATGTACAACTCAAATATTGTGGCGCGAAGATAACTACTAACCATTCATATTTCATGGGACTTTCGCAAACACAGTGACAATCTTGCGGGATGTACGTAATTGCCCAATTTTACCTTTATGTCAAAAGATTTACGTAGGTCACTTGGCTAAAGCACTTGTGGAAGTATTTGGTTATACTGCCCGATGTATTTACAGAGTGGGCAAGCTTAACTAATCCCTTCGNAACATTCTGCGGTAGATCTCCCAGAGCTCAGTCCACGTAAATGTGTCGTGAGTGAGCAACAAACGTGAGCAGATATGGAGAACAATAAGAGCGGTTAGAACATTCTCGCATCATGGACAACTCAAATATTGTGACGCGAAGATAACTACGAACCATTCATATTTCATAAGACTTTCGCAAACACAGTGACAATCTTGCGGGATGTACGTAATTGTCCAATTTTACCTTTATGTCAAAAGATTTACGTAGGTCACTTGGCTAAAGCACATGTGGAAGTATTTGGTTATACTGCCCGTTGTATTTACAGAGTGGGCAAGCTTAACTAATCCCTTCGATCAGGAAGGGGCTCGCAAAATATTTAGCGCCGTTAAGACCAACCGAGAAAAACAAATTTGGATCATATCCAATTCATTTTTCATGTGAGCGGATTAGTTCCGCCTTCTGAGAGTCCGTCTCTCACTGTTGAGCGGAGGCATTCATTGATCCCCCTCCATGGCGTTACACCGGCATTTATTTGGACGTCGTGTGCAGGCTAGCAGGTGTAACCTAACCCGCTAGCTATCTGCACACATCCACTAGTATATTGTTCGTTCCNTTTTCTCAAGGCTGTGTTTCATTAGAAATTCCTTTTTTTTATCGAGTTAAGGGCTGCAGCAGGACATCGTGCGCTAGAGCTCCCAGAGCTCAATCCACGCAAAGTTGTCGTGAGTGAGCAACAAACGCGAGCAGACATGAAGAACAATAAGACCGGTTAGAAAATACTCGCCTCATAAACAACCCTAATATTGTGGCGAAAATAACTATGAACCATTTATATTTCATGGGACTTTCGCAAACACAGTGACAATCTTGGGGGATGTACGCAATTGTCCAATTTCACCATTATGTCAAAAGACTTACGAAGGTCACTTCGCTAAAGCACATGCGGAAGTAGTTGGTTATACCGCCCGTTGTATTTATAGAGTGGGCAAGCTTAACTAATCCCTCCGATAAGGAAGGGGCTCGCAAAATATTTAGCGCCGTTAAGACCAACCGAGAAAAACAAATTTGGATCATATCCAATTCATTTTTCATGTGAGCGGATTAGTTCCGCCTTCTGAGAGTCCGTCTCTCACTGTTGAGCGGAGGCATTCATTGATCCCCCTCCATGGCGTTACACCGGCATTTATTTGGACGTCGTGTGCAGGCTAGCAGGTGTAACCTAACCCGCTAGCTATCTGCACACATCCACTAGTATATTGTTAGTTCCACAAACATCGGGAAGTCAGCGGTACTACCTGGCCACGAATTTTCCCCAATAGTGCCCGTATGTGTGATAACTTTGATCTTTGGGTGATGAGAAATAATGTGAAGAGGAACTGCATTTATTGATTTCAGATCCTAGTGAACCGCAAGTTGGCCACCTACATCCGTTGCCTAAGGTGATGATTAGCGCAAAAAGATGATTTACCTGGTACCTATTTCAAACTTCGTGACAGACTTGTGGACTGGTAAACAACTGCGAGAACACACATGTTCTCACTTCATTGAACTGGCCTGTATAAATATCGTACACCCTTGTCCGGTCACGTAAAGGCCCCCGAATATTCTATACGAATTTCTCCCTACAACGTGTTTTGCCGCTTGCCGCGTATGATGTTCTTTCCGCGAAACCCATTTCGGTTACTGAATGACGACTAATGCGCTTAGATACTCTATTTCCATTGCGGTCGAACAAAAGATTTCAGTGGTGAAATCACAAGATAATCAAATCCAAAACATCTGGGACGTTTTCCCTGTTTAAAGTGATGCTTTAGATACAATCACAAGACAAATTATCGAACTTCAGGAGTTGCCATTCCGTCTTGCGATTTAATATTGCACAATTAAACAGACGTCTGCTTTGCAAGATAAAATAAAAGCCGAAAGAGGATTTGCTTGTACGACAAGTCACGCCACAGCACTGCTGCTGCAAGCTCAGTTAACACATTGCGACTGATTTCATGTTCTTTGAAATCCCTGCAAGTTTGAAGAGCTGGAGCGTTAGACGTGAGATTCACTGTCCAGTTAGCAATCCACGGTCGCATGAAACGAAAAGTTCCGGATCGACAAAGTCACATTGCGGAAAAGGTTTAGGTTAATGAACAGGGTTTTCATGCAGGCTTTAATCTATACAGGAGAATAAAATGCTGAAATCAAGTGTCCAGGTATAATTTTCGAGGTCTCCCGATTTTGAGAAGATGTACCACAATGTGTTGCAGGAATTCTCCCGCGGTCCTTTGCATGAGATTGTCCT